AAATTAAAATTAAAATTAATATCAATTGCCATACCAAATGGGTAGAAGAAAAGGAGGGTGGGAAAGCTCTGCATTTAGAGTAATTTCCATGAAAAATATTCCATGATATTGGATGAGATTGTTCTTTACACACAAAGCAAAGAAGTGAAAAGGGTCTTCTGCATTCAATAAGGAGTTTTTGTGGGACTCTCTAGTAACTTCCAGACAGGTGCCTGAGGCAAAACTTCCTTTTGCCTGTTGCAGGCAATGTGTGCAAGCAGCCTCCACAAAAAGCATGTCCTGCTCCACTTCTGTTTTTTAAGCAGGATGGGTCTCACTAGTTCACCTCTCCCTCCAGCTGTGGCTTTAGTAAGAAGTTTTGCTAGCGTTAAGATTTTTTTTTTACTGGACTATATTGGAGAACTTGCAATAGGGAGTGATGGTCTTGAGAGGATGGCCTCTTCATTTCCTTCTCCCAGACAGCCTTAAACATCTTCTTTGACTAGAAATAAAATGGAACTGTGAAAGTTTAGGAATAAATAGACAGGACGTTAATTCTGCCAATACTCCTACAAGATCATTTACTGGTAGGAAAGTCAATAAATGGGACATTATTTTCTACATCGCTCTATCAGAACCAAGATGTGTCAGAGTATAAGCAATGTCATTCTCCTTTGCTTCTGCTTTTTGCTGCTGAATACTAACAAAATGACTTTATTTACCCATGAAAAGTAGAAAATCCAAAATGAATACTAGACATAGAATTGGATTACGACATGATCCAGGAGTACAAGGGAAGACTTTTAACTCCTGAAGTGGCCTTAATGGACAAAATCATTTAGTAAATGTAACTGTTCACTCCTTTTGACCTTCTGACATAAATTCTGCAGATTTAGCTATAAGTACATACAGCAATATATAATTGTCTGATGTAGTGGCTTGAGACTCCTTTAAAAACTGAATAAAAAACTGTATTTAGATTAATCAAATTCTTACTTGTGTTATAAAAGATATTCTAATTTAAACTCAGAAAATGTATAGTATCTTAATTTGGTTTTGCTTAACTTAGCAATTGGTAAATTATTTTTAATAATCTGCTAAACCGAGTCTGATTTAGGGTTGAACTTTTCTGGAGGTAGGTTACTTGAAAGCAGTCCCTGATTTCAGTGCATTAATGATATGCAAAAAAATCATACTTAGATTGCTTCTGGGTGTGTCTTTTGCCTGAAGTGAATACATATTTTAAACAGCATATGTTTGGACTTGAATCTATAAACCTGTGTTTATCTGATTTAAAATAATCAGAGACTGAAAATGATACCATTAGAATCAAGCCCTAACATCCCAAAGAATGGTCTACAGATCTCTACACAACCTCCTTTGCTCCACTCCCAACTCACCCAGACTACTATGCTTGGTAATCTTGTGGAGGAAATTAATCTCGTTAGCCAAAGAGAGAGCTTGAGGGTCTAGTTTTACAAGAATTTTTCTGTGCAGCCATGCTTCCCCCTCCTCAACATCATCCCTTCAGGCTGCCATGGAAAGGGCCTGCCTTTGCATAACCGCCTTCCTTGTGCAGCTACATGGAAAACTGGAGGATGAGGAAATTACTCCAACTCAGAATTAAAGTGTGTGTGTGTGTGTGTGTGTGTGTGTGCACAGTGTTTTTATTTTTTAAGGGAGTTCAGTCAAATCAGTCCCCTAAAACTGTTGAATGTGCATTTACACTAATGCTAATGCCAAACAAGGGTCAGCAGACATCCCCTGCTACGTGTGGAGATAACCAGGTAGAGGAATGGGAGACTTTCATTTAGTTATAAGCTTACTTAGGACGGGTATAGGCTAGCCAAACCTGTGAAGGAGGGATTTGTATTTGCTTATGTACAGTCACAGTGCACTCTCAACCTAAAACCAGTGATAAAGAGACCCCTGGGATTGGGGACTGCCAGCCCTTACAGTGTTCATATGAGATGCAGAATCAGTCCCTGAGACTTCCAAAGAGAGCAAATTTCCCTGTGGGAAGAAAGACTTTCTGTCATGGACTCTAAAGTGCAGCATATAAGCATTTTAGGATTCATAATACATAATCAATTTAAAAACGTTTTATTGAGTATTTTGAGAAAAGAAGCTGCAAAGACAAATGGATTTTCTGAATTTATTTACCTTGCTTAATTTAAAACAGCTTCATATATTACTAGCGCTAAATATGCATTAGGTTTTTCTAAGGCACAGTATTCCCTGCCTGCATGAGTGGTTTTCAAAATCACAAAACCAGAAGTTCCTGCCCTTTTCATCTTTTTTTTTTCTACCTTTGTTTCTCAGATTCTCGTTTCATGGTTCACATATGCACTGCATATATTATTGACTGCTATGATAAAATAAGTTCAAAATACTTTGTTTCTAATTTTTCTTTTCCTTGGATGTTAAAACTGGCAGCTTAATGACTCTGTTGCCACCTACTAGTCAATCACTGCCCTTGCCAAACTCAAGATAAGACAAGCTCACTTTCCCCAGATAATTGAGGCCCTTTGCTGTGCACTCTAGGAACCATAGTACAAGGCTTAGTTACCTCAAATCCTTTTTAATTTTAGTGGATTGTTCAATAATCACCCAGAGCAACATAAACATGAAGATCTTCCTCTTGAATTTTTGATCACTTTGCAAAAGTGGCAAGTATGGCATATCTTACCTAAATATGAACAAAACATGTTCAAGTGTCTCTGTACCTCGGTGTAATGGTGTGAAACACCTGGACAGCTAGAACTTTAGAAAGAGAAGGAAGCTTTCCCATTGACTTTAATGGGAACAAGTACAGACTAATGAGGGATAGCTTCAAAAATCTGAATTTGCCACTGTCCTACTGTCTGTTTAGAATAGTTCAGTGTTTCACAGGCTTTGTTGATCTAATGTCACCCTAATATTTTCCAAAGGAAGAAGGCTGCAAAAGACAATGAAATATTGACATGTCAATGCTGCCAGGACAGTTTTCATTCACAACAAATAAATGAGAGGAACTTGTAAAGACATACTAATTAATTTTTATCCTGTATTCTGTTTCTTTACTTGCTTGCTTTTATAGCAAAAAGAAAAAAGTGTAGGAAAAAAGTGTAGGAAAAAAGTGTGCTCCTTCAGTATTTGTTTGTTTTCCCACAATAATTTCCTTAAGGAACACCAGTGGTCAACGGAGCACAAGCTGACAAAACACCGCACAGCAACACTGCACAGCTCTGCACATCCTATGCACCTGGAACAGTTGTGTCAAGAGTGGCATGTGAATGTTCATAGTTACTCAGGACTTGCTTGCTTGGCTTGCAAATTCATGATTCCTGACTGAAATGTAGTTTTGTTTCTTTAACAAAATCCCCGTGTCCTTAGATACGCATGGAAACAATAAAAACAGGGACAAAGTTTCAGCCTTACAGATCTTGCTATCGGAGCTGTAAGACTTTGAAGGGTTCAGGTTCACAGTGTCTAAGACATCTACAATCTTTCAGGTGAAACATACAAACCTGGGAAGGAAAGAACAGTGTCCGTGAGCAGTTTGATGGCTGCTGCTATGGAACAGGGGTGTGTGAAGCCTACAGTAATTGAAACCATTGTAGGGTCCAGCCTTACATATGGAACTTGAACAATAGGTATTTACTTAAATTACATAGATTACCTCAGAGATGTGGAATCTGTACACCCTGCCCACTCCCCTGAACCTTTGGAGCTGGGATCCTGTGGGGAACATAATGGGCTTAATTATGGTGTCTGGACTAGCCATGTAGGACCCGGAAGGCAGGAGTTAACCTCACCTCACCTTTTACATGCCAGTGACCCCAGGCTTGCCTGGGAACCCTCTGGGGCCTCTGGAGCAGCTTTTGGATTACCACGACATGCGCTAACTGGCGCGACGGCAAAGGGAAATCCCGCACGAGGAAGACCACGGTGCCCGTGCCTTCTCACCATGGCCCGTGCGCCGTGGCT